TTTCCTAAACGTTGCTGGAATATCTTGTGTTACTTGGGTATGGGCGGCTTTGCTCTGGGGTTGGCTCTGTTGCAGTGGGTCTTTTCGCATTTCTGAGATCATTTATTTACTTAAATATAAGGTGCTGAACAATTATGCACTCATGCAATTTTTCAAGCAGAAGAGAGAGGAACTGCACCGAATGTCCGCCTTGAACGCCACCCAGACGAAGAAGATGCTGGCGGAAATGGAACTGAGAAGGGAATCGGAACTTAACAAATCCGACGTGAAAAGCCCGACCTATACAAAAGACCTCCTGGATCAGAAAATGGAAGAGCTCAGGATGTTTAAGGAGTCCAAGAGAAGTAGCGTGAAAATCACAGCAACAAGAGCCCATTTGGCCGAAGTCGAAAAGCAGCTGGAGCTGGGGAAGAGGTCGGCAGCTGGCGAAGTCACCTCAACTCGGACGAGGGACCTCCTAGACAAGAAGCTGGAAGAGCTCAGGATGTTGAAGGAGTCCAAGGCAAGTAGCGTGACAATCACAGCAACAAGAGCCCAGTTGGCCGAAGTCGAAAAGCAGCTGGAGCTGGAGAAGAGGTCGGCTGCTGGCGAAGCCACCTCAACTCGGACGAGGGACCTCCTGGACAGGAAGCTGGAGGAGCTGCGACTGATGAAGGTGGCAACGAGCGCTGCTGCAACCTCCACCAAGACGAGGGACGCGCTCGTGAAGGTTATGAGAGATATCGATGTAGAGAGGGACAAGCTGGCCAAGTGCCAGACTCTGGCCGAGTACCAGAAGCAGCAGGCTCTCCTGCAGAAGATGAAGGAGGCCAACGCCCTGCGCGGCGACACCGACGTCGCCTTCATGCTGGACTGCACCGGGAGCATGTCCAGCTACATCAAAGCCGCCAAGGAACATATCAAGGATATCGTCGACGAGATCAGGAACAGGTACCGCTGCCAGGTCAGAGTGTCCTTCGTCGGCTACCGCGACCACTGTGACGGGCAACGGAGGATCGAGACCCTGGACTTCAAGGAGGACGTCAATGTTTTCAAGATCTTCCTAGACGCGGTCGTTGCCGACGGCGGCGGGGACACCTGCGAAGACGTCTTTGGCGGACTGGAGGCTGCCATCAACCTGTCCTGGTCGGGGAGAAACAAGTGCCTGATACACATTGGTGATGCCCCGCCACACGGCGGTAGGTTCCACGACCTTGGCAGTGGTGCTGACGGTGATTATTCTCTTAACGATTCTGACAGGCGCGGGTTGAGGATCGAGGACCTCATCCAGAAGATCAAAGGCTTGGGAATCGACTACACCTTCGGCAGGATCAACAACTCCACGGACAAGATGCTCAGGGTCTTCGATGACCTGGGAGGAAGTGGGTTCTCCCGCTGCTCGGACTTGGCTGACGTCAAGAACTTTCCCTTCGTGGCCATCGAGTCCATCAGCGCCACCATCGAGTGCAACTGGAAGGATATGTCCGGTGCGCTCCTACCCAAGCCGAAGTTTAGCAGATACAGCGCCGTAACCGATGTGTCCCAGAAGTCGCTGAAGTCGTTCCTAATCGCTAAGTCGCAGCCGCGCTGGAACAAAGTCAAGACGCAACCAGTCAAGATTACTCAGTGCGAAGTCTCCGACGGGAATAAGCTCCGCCTGGCTTACAAGTACAGGTCGGCTTCGGTCAAAATGTCACAGCACCCGTTCGCCGAGGGGAGCCAGAGGATCTCCTACTTCGGGATCGAGATAGGCAACAGTTGGTTTTCCAAGTTGGATTCGAAAGCATCTGTCGTCCTGAAGACGTTCAAGTATGTTTACGCGGACGAGGTGGGCGACGGCAGGGACGATTTCATAAACATTGTGGAGTCTCAGGCCATTGCGAACTACTTTGCCAAGGAGTTCAACAAAGTCAAACCAAGTGTTGCCAAGTCGATACATTTCCTGGATGTGAAACTTGTTCAGGTTGAAAAAATTTAATTTAGATTTGATTCATATTACAGTGTCCAAACACATTTGTGGTTAAATAATGTCATGTCTGTTATAAAAGCTTCCTCAAATTGTATGTAATTTGAAACGTGCCTTTTTTTCAATATGCACAAAATCTAGTAACTATTTTATTGGTAATATTTCCTTTGCAATAATATGTATTTTTTTAAATATTTTAATAATAAATAAGTTTTTGCTTTTAAAAATTATCATTTTCATGCAATAATTTTTGTTTTTTTTCCACGATATTTTATTTTCTTTTTAATTTAATCATTGAGTTTTTCAAAGTTATTTTCTTTTTAATGCAAAAACGAAAATTATTGCTCCGGGTTTTTTAGGCGGAAGCTCAGGACGGCTCCCCTGTGTATTACACTATAGAGGACATCTTCAAGGACTACGACTCCGAGTTCAAGAAGTTCAACAGCAACTTCGGCTTCGTCAACTCGGTGGACTTCACCTTGACTCTGAATGCGTTCTCCCACTGGACTTACGACCACACCAAGCACTACCTGATGGTGGTGGACCTGCAGGGGATACTGGACAAGGAGCGCTACGTCCTGACCGACCCCGCCATCCACTGCAAGGAGCTGAGGTTCGGCAGCACCAACTTGGGCAAGGTCGGCATGGTGACGTTCTTCGAAGCCCACGAGTGCAACAAGGTGTGCGCCCTGATGGGATTGAAGAGCAACCGGTACATGAAGGACGGCACGCCCAACCTGGACCTGGCCTCGGTGACTACAGCGATGGGGAAGCTGTCGATTTGACATGCTACAGTTGGGGAGGGGGGATTCCAGGTTCCAACGAGAGACACAGGGTAACCCCCCCCATTTTCATACCCAACGGGAACCCATACAACCTGCATAGGTGCCTGTGTCTCAAAATCCTGCGGGGGGAGTGATTTTTAATTAAATCAAGAGGGTTCATTCCTTTTCAGCGCTTTCTACAATTTTCCAACTAATTTTCCCAATTTTAAGATTAAGTTTTCCATTATCTGAGGGAGCCCCTGCCTCCATACCCACACAGTCTCACAGAGACACATCACCCCCCCCCCCCCAAACACACACTCTCTTACCAGAGTTAACTGTCAAGTCAGGATGCAGATTTTGCATGGAACCTTAGGACATGTTTGAAATCCATTTTTCTCACTTATTTGTTGAAGCAAGTATATGATTTTAATATGTTTTCCTATACATATATTTTCAGTTCATTCAAATGATAAAAAGGGAGAAGCAAAGCACGAAAAAATTGTGAATTCACACGGGGCTGTCAGAACTTGACACCTGTAGTCCTAACAAACCATGCTTTTTTTTTTAAACAGAGTACCAAATCTGTATGAATTGTGAAGCTTTGTTTTATTTGAATGGTAAGTATTATGTGCTAGGTCTTTTTAAATGAGCTCTAAATATGCTTTCTTACATAAAATTCGGATTTAAAGGTAATTTTTCCAGCCTTTTTTAGCTACCTCTAGAAAAGCTTGACCTGCTGTGATGAAACTGCTTTTCATCAGCTGCCCCTATGATTGTGTTTTAACTCATTTGAGAAACAGCATGAGGACAGCTGATTGACAGCTGATGCGTGGGAGCGGACTGAAAGAAGAATCAAAAGTCCTAAGATTGCATGCTAAATCATGAGGTCAGTGGATGGTCACCTCACCTAGTAGCGTGGGAACAGACTCAAAGGAAGAGTTATCAACTGGTTTTGATAAATTAAAATTGGCTCTGAGTAGTTTTTTTTACTTGTATTTACATTAAAATATATTTCTTTGCATTTTGCCTCTGAATGCTGTTGACCATTTGCAGCAGTGTCACATGCAATGTTAGGACATTTTTTAAGTTTGACCAAATTTGACTTTTTCTAAATCAGACTTGAATGACCTCATTCTATTATTAGAACAAAATATTAAGATTCCCCAGCATGTTTACATCAATATTATATCAATTTGATCGACATTCTTTGTAAATTTTTAATTTACGCAAACCTTCAGCATTAGATTTTCAATATATTTATCGAAATGTCACCTTTGTGATACGCAAGCGGTGATATAAAATTGACGAGAATTTTACATGGAATTGAAATTCCCATTTGCATTCCAGTAGCATGTTTAAAACAATATTATGTAAAAAAAATAGCTAATTTTATTGGCAAAATTCCCGCTAGTACACTACCAGATTTTAAGAAAAATCTGGGATACTTGATAGAATACGCAAGTACTCTTCCATAAAAGTACCCAAGAGTACCTGCTACTCTCCTCTTGCGCACCCGGCTCGGAAGCCTGAGAGCATGAGTAGGACATAAGGCACTACTCTGCATAGAAGATAGAGGTTTGAATGTTGGAAAGACCTGCATTTACTATTCCTTATTTCCATACACTTATTTATTCCCATGCTTAACTTCCACATTTAATAGTTCCCTGAGTCATATATATCGTGATAATAATATCATATTTCAATGTTTTCCTAATATTGTATATAAATTGTACAATGAAAAGAGGAAAGAGAGGAGAAAGACCTGATACTATGGGTCGATCGGAAAGTTCTGGCCGTTACGAGAACATTCCATATAACCGAGTTTTTTTTTATAAAAAAAAAGCAAAAGAGTTCGTTCAACAAAGTAATCGCCATCACAGTCAATCGCCTACTGCCAACGATCGGGCAGACTCCTGATTCCATCCCTGTAAAACTGAGCTGGCTGTGAGTCGAAAAAATTAGCCAGTTTTCGGCCTCGGCGTCATCGTTGAACCTTTTCTGACGAAGATGGTTGTCCAGAGAGCGGAAGAGATGTTAGTCGGTTGGCGCTACGTCTCGTCTATACGGAGGGTGAGGCAGAACCTCCCAGCCCAGATCCAGCAGTTTCTGCCGTGTTATCTTCGCGACATGCGGCCTTGCGTTGTCGTTGTAGTTGTTGCGCGGCCTTGTCGTGCAGGAATCGAACCCGACGGTGCCCTGGCCTCACCGTGCGGAGTTTGTCGGCGAGCTGCTGCTGCTGGTCTCAGTAGTAGGCGGCGGCGATGCTGGTATTGGGTGGGAGCAGCTCGAAGTCGATCACGTCTTGCACGTCCCACCCAATGCACAACATGACTTTTCGGGGGTACAGGTCACCTTTCGGCTCCGGCTCTGGCGCGGCATCAGCATCGACCCACTGGCGCCTGCGTCGGTAGTGGACGTGCGGCATCCACTTTTCGTGTCCAGTGACTACGGAATCCAGCCAGTCGTTTGTGCGCTCGTACGACAGCAGCGAAGTGCACGCCTCAGCACGGCGTTCGCGGTCGCGGTCGGGCGAATCGTGGGGTACCCACCGACCCAACATGCTCTTCTTGCCGATTGCAGCGAGGAGCGTCACGATCGTGGACAGGTCGCAGCCAAGTTCTATCGCCAAGTCGCGGGTAATTTGCCTCGGATCGGCTTCCACTGTGTGCTGCAACTGCTCGTCGTCGATTTCAGATGGGCGTCCTGACCTGGGCTCATCCTCGAGGCTGTAATTTCCAGACCGTAAACGATCGAACCATCGTCGCGCTGTCCTTTCATAAACTGCATCTTGGCCAAATGCAGCGCAGATGCGGCGACTCGATTCAGCTGCTGTGATGCCAGATAGGAAGTCGTAAAGAAGACACTGACGTTGGGCGTTCTTGTTAAAGTCGATTTTGGAAGTCATGGTTATAGGCTTTGAACGACTAAGCAGCTGCTTATCTGTAATCACGCCAACACACCCTTTATGTACTGCTACTGTGGAAGGTTCGAGAAAGTTACATAAATTTTTTTTTTGGGTGGGGGGGGGGGGGGTAAATTCTCGAAACGGCCAGAACTTTCTGATCCACTCAATATTTCAGGAATGTAGGTACTTAATTGCCTTTGTTGGGTGCAGGGAACTTGGGTTCCATCTAGTGATAGTACTAGAGACAGTCTTGAGTCAGCTAAAGTTTCATATGGATGTTGCTGTGTCGATATTGCATGAACTCCATGTCACTTACTTTTTATCAGGTGAAATAGTGTCTATTTTATATGAAATGCACGTCTCCTTTGGGGATATTACTTATATACTTGGGTATTTCTTGAATAATAAAATAGTCCTTCCCATTCCACTCGAAAGAATGCCACATGATTATACATGGGGGATGTCTCAAAACTGCACCAAAGATCCGCACTAAAGCATCTAATGCTCTTCATAATGATTGCTACTTTCATTCCCAATAGCTTCGACGTAATTAATGCCTACTATCACAGGATTTTGCAGGAAACTTGCTCGTTGACGAACTTCAAATAATGCTGACGTATTTCTCGCCGTATTTCATTTAAAGTTTGCTTCCATAGGAAACGCCGAAAATGACATTTCATTGCTGAAACAATATGTCTCCGAATGAGATATAGTTCTCATGGAGGAAAATCAATTGTAACTTGCCGAAACTGCTACCACTTTTTAAACATATTTACAGTGATATTCTTCACTCGCCAAATTCCGAAATTGAATTGCAAACCATCTAAAAGCAAGTTGCAACAGTAAGTTATTTAGTATCATTTAGTATTATCATTCTTCAATTGTAAATTATATATGTTTTAAATGTTGCACAATTATGTGTTTGTTTCTGAAACAGGTACACATCTGTGGCAAGTGTCAATCATAGCTGGAAATTGGTTGCTCAGACTGATAATGAATAAACATTTGGAAAAACGACAGCGGCAGCAGCGGAACTTTCTTCCTTTCATCCCCAGCCAGCACTATAAGGAAGATGGGACCATTTGGGGGATTACTTTAGTCTGCAGCACAGATTAGTCATATATATGATTATCTTTAGAAACGGTTGTCGATGGAGATTCGAAGCATTCTGTAAAATTCTTCGAGGTCAAAAGCAGAGGAAAAACAGAGAGCAAATACCCCTTGAAGAATTTAGTAGGAAAAGCAGATCAACTGAAAAAAGCAAACACGTATTCCAAAAATATGTTTGGATCGACTGCCTTTTCCCACACTCTCATCTCTTGCTTCGTCGCTTTCCCTTATCTGTCAAGAACGAACGTCGAAAAGGAATTGACGTGCTGCCATAAGAACATTCTCACGAGTGAAGACGTAGAGTCTCCTCTAGCCTTCACGGATTTCCTTCAACGACATAGAATCGCTCTCACGAGAAATACGATACCAGATCCTGGAGCCACGGAATGCTACTTGGATGTGATGAGAACATATGTGGCAGCCTCTGCATCTGTGGACAAAATCCCCAGAACTGCAGAGGATCTCCACAAGATCGACGAGAGGATGCAGAGACCCTTGGTTCTTCTCACTCCTCATCAAAAGCAGATTTTTAACGAGGACCGATCTGTTCTTTTCCTGACTGGGGGGCAAGGAACGGGGAAGACCTATCTGCTCCTCGAGAGAGCTCAGCAATTGACAGAGAACCAATCCTGATCGTGAACATGTCAGAACGAGAGCTGACTCAGAACATGAGAGATTGGCGTGAGTCACATGAGGGCAAGGCCAATATAACAATTACAAATGCTGACGAATTTTTAAGCAATGATCAACAAGGACTTGATATACTTCTTGAGAAGGTCAATGAAAACGAACAAAGCCATATTCTGATAGACGAAATGCAAATCGATCTTGGCATGGACGGAAGGAATTCGGTGGAGATAGGACGAAAATGGATGGAATTTATTGAAGGAATAAAATGCCTTTGGATCGCTTGGCGTCCCAGTGACACCAATTTCCCCGATTCTCTTGATATTCTGAGAGTCATGGATTT